CAGGAATGAGAGGCACAGGCTGGCAGTGCCTTCTGAGCCCCACTGGGTGTCTATCAGACCCAGGCAGGAATGGGACTATGCTGAAGCCAACCATTCTCCATAGCACACAACAGTCCTCAGCACCAGGGATGAAGCCTGACCCCGAAGAGCTTCTGCAACCCGTAGGCCTGGCATGTGGGTGTTGCTGTGTCCCCTGCCTTCCCTTCCCTTCCCTGTGCCAGTGGGCATTCTACATGTTCTGTTGGCTCCTCAGGAGCTGCTAGGGCTGCTTGAGCCTTACCAGCCCTGCTGCAAAGGTCTCCAAGCCCTGCAAAAGCCTCTGCTGGCTCTAGCCAGCCTTGCCCCAGGAGCAGTTACCCCCATCAACCTCATGCAGCACAGCTATCTGCCTGCCCATGGAAAATTTGATTGCTGCTGCCAGCTAGGCTGTGTCCGTGCACAACTCGTACAGCATCTACATACATGCACATGCAGAGCAGTGTCCACTTATAACCTAGGCACAGCAGTTGTCTCAGCAGAGCATCAATTCCAAAATGTGCCCATATCCTTCACTCCCATCCTGGGAGCAATGCCTGCCTCTATGCTGCACCCACACTGAAGCAACATCCTAGTCTGAAAGGACTGGAAAGCCTGGCCACAGTTAACAACTAGGGTGGGGCTGCACCTGGTCAGCCTGAGCTGCAGTTAGGCTGCAGTTCTTCTAGGCTAGCATGATGTCCTGGTGGGCTGTCTGGCATCTCTTGCTCTCCCCGTGGTCTCTCAGAGGCTGGGGAGATTGCTCATCATGCTGGAGTTGCTGGAGAGGGGTGCTCTGGGCCGGGCGTTCAGTGCTACAGAGCTGCGAAAGCTCTCCCGGTAGCGCAGGGAGCTCTCTGTGGATGAGCCAGAGTTGATGTCCGTGATGACCAAGCAGTTCCCAGGCTTGCAAAGCCCAACCCTGACACAGCAGCAGCAGAGCAGGCTGCCCACAGCACGGCGCACCTCTACACTCCGGAGGGAGTAAATGATGGGGTTAACACCTGAGTTAAGCATGGCCAGAGCCAAGGTCCAGTCCAGGCTGTGGAGGTGTGTGCAGGTCTGGGTCTCACAGAAGACATCAAAGAGCAACAGGACAAAGAGGGGGCTCCAGCAGATGATGAAGGCACCCAGGATCATTAGCACAGTCTTGAGCAAGCGCAGGGACCGTTTGCGGCTGTGCCGAGAGCTGGTTTGCTTAGAGCTGGCCTGGACCAGCTGGAAGATGGAGATGTAGAGGCCGATGATCCCCAGGAGGATGATGCTGAACATGACTACGGAGAAAAGGATGTAGTTCTTGGAGTAGAGAGGCAGGAGTACAGAGCAGGCATTGAAGTCGCACAGACAGTTCCAGCCCAGCAGTGGAAGCAGTCCAATGATAAAGGCCAGCAGCCAGCAGGAAATGATCAGGCTGCGTAAGCGCAGCGTCTTGCTGGCTTCATTCTCAGCTATCGGCCTTACCATGGCACTGTAGCGCTCGATGGCAGTCACAAGCAAGCTGAAGGTGGAGGCAGCCAGCGCGATGAAGAGGATGCCTTCCCGCAGGAACCAGAGCTGAGGTGAAAGCTGGAAGGTCTTCTTGCCCGAGAGGCAGAGATTAGAAAGGTAGGCAATTCCTGCAAGCAGGTCACTCACAGTGATGCTGGCAATGCAGGAGTAGACCCAGCGGCGGGCTCGCAGGCACCGCAGGATGGCCAGCAGCACAAGTAGGTTCTCCAGGATGATGATGCAGCTGATGATGGCAAAGGTTGTGTGGATGAGACCCATGCCCTCATCCCCAGACTGCCGGTTGGTCAGCTTGCCTGTGAAGTTGTAGTGCTGCAGGATAATGTTCACATTCCTCATGGCAGCCAGCTGCAGGCAGGAACCTTTCCTGTCGAGCAGGTCAAGTCTGAGCTCAGGATATTGAGCAAAGCCCGGTGGAAGGGGAAGGGAGCGATTCACCAGCCAGCTAAGCTCTGGACCATCCATCTTCTGAGCCTAGGTCAGCAGCCAAGGGATGCACGATGGACCAAGGGTTGAGGTAGGGTCTGGAGCAGAGCAGACCCTCTGTTTGAGGGCTGGAGACAGCTGTGAGACTCTTGTCACACAGGACTGGCTCTGATCCCAGCAGCTCTACCCAGCATGGAGATGAGAGTTAGAGCCCTGTCTGCCAGTCTCGCGGCACTGAAAGAGCAAGGGGAGAAGAGGGTGAGGTGTTTTGTAAGTCCGTGCATGAGGATGGGCTTCCTGTTGTTTAATAAAGTTTCCTGTTGTGAGCTAGAATATTGACATCGTTTCTAACAGCTCTCATCATTTCTCAGTAAGGGTCTGGCTATTCTCAGCTTTGCTGTGATTGTGAAGGTGGGACATGAATGAAATAATGTGTCAGGTCCCTTGTCGAGTCAGGGCAGGCTGGGTCGGAAGAGGTAACACCGCTCACCTTGATGGGTAGGGTTTGTTGGGCTGAACAAAGCCAAATGCTAGTAAGAGCATCCAGACAGCCTGAGACACTAAATGCTTTGCCTTTTGTGGCGTTGAATTCACCCCTGAGCCTGGCAGAGAGCAACTGCCTCATCAACTGTCCTGTGGACCACTCATGCACAGATACATCCTTCTGCAGGAGAAAGCTCCATGCTTTCACCCCTCCGGGCTCCTCCATGGGCCAAGCTCCTGCCAGTCTCTCGAGGCATACCCATCCAAGTCCTGCCCTGTCCGTGCAGCAAGCCCACACAATGTCTGAAGCTAGGACTCAGCTCCACCCAGTTCGAAGGAAACCAGCTGTTGGAAGTCCTGCATGTGCCCTGACACTGCACCCTCTACCTTCAGTTCTCCAAGCACTTGCTAGAGATGGGTCAGGGTCTTCCCATTGTCTAGGTCACAGACAGGGAAACAGGCGCAGAGCTGCTGCCTCTTGCCTGGCATTGCAGAAGGCACAAGGGGCTGCACTGAGACCAGAAATCAGGAGTCCTGACATGTTGTTATGTTAATGTCTATCATTGACCTGTTCTCTGCATCTGCAAAACTTGACTGGAGAGAGTCTTGCAACTTGCTATTCCCAACCGAGGCTGTTGAATTTGCCTTGTGACTCACCTGTCATGACTGACCTGAGGCTCTTGCTGCCAGGGGGAAGCCAGCAATGCTCTCCAGCTGCTTGTCGGAGGCCCAGCACAGAGTAGGTAGTGGCGAGGGCTCCTTGTGCAAAATAAGTGAGACTTCTACCTACCAAAGTGGAAAAAGGGAAGTTACAACATCAACCACACTTCTGTGCAGGATGGACCCCACCCAAAACAGCTGCAAAGAGGCTTAGAGAAAAGAAAGACAGGGCACCTTTTAACTCAGGATCACAGCAGAAGCTGTGCCCTGCTTTCTGCTTTTGCCTCTGTGCTCACTCGACTGCCACAAAGCCATGGAGAGGTCCCTGGGATGAGAGCAAAGAGCGGAAATTTCTTCCATCAGCATGGCAAGCAGGGACTTACCCTGGGAGCCCATCCACTGCCTGATGGATGGAGAGATCCTAGCCTGGATTACAGCGTAGACAAGTGGAAAATGCAAAGGAGGTTCCTGCTGCAGTAGGTCATGTACAAGCAAGAGTGGTTCTCTTCAAAAGCTGAGGGTTCTATCCTCCACATTCACCCTTTCAGCTGGTGTTTCGGGCTTGTCTATCAGCAGCGTGGAAACTCATGCTGATAAAGTCAGCAGATGACCCCAAGATTGAAGGAGCGGAAATTAGCAGGAAGGCTGGCCCATGCGTGCAGCTCAATCCAGAGAAGAGTGCAAGGTCGCACATTCAGCACAAAGAGCACACTCCCAGATGGGTTGGGCAGATGCTCCCAGCACAGCACTGGAATCAAAAAGGTCAATGTGATTCTTGCTTCAGGCTGAGCCTTCAGCCAGTGTGTCTGCTCAGGACAGAACTGGTGGGGTGTCCCTAAAAGTTTAGAGAATGAAGAAACTTGCCTTGTCAGGAGCCCTGAGTAGCTTCTCAAATAGCCAGCAGCGTGTGAGCAGTCTCAGGAAAAAGATATCTGACAGGAGCAAGCTCTTTGACAGGGAGATCTGTGGAGAGTGTGGGGCAGATGGGAGGCAAACGTGTCTAATGGCAGGAGGGCCTGAGGCAGGTGAGGTGCTGGGGCAGTTCAGCACGCTCACCTGTGGGGTGCCAGCTCCTCTGTACCCGCAAAACACTGTAGGCTCTTGCTAATGCCCCTTCCACAAGCACATCAGGTGCTGCCTAAAAGGCAGGGCTGGTTATTCTCTCAAGAGCTGTTCCACCGTGACAGAACCTTGTTCCTTGCTCTATCCTGGCACCTGGCTTGTCTGGCCTTTCCATAGCAGAGCTGACTGGGTGCCTGTGAGACACGCCACAGTTTGACAGCGCGTCGTGAAGGGGACTGGGTCTGGGAAGCTGCCTGAGCTGTGTCCCAACCCATGCTGCTGCCCTTCCAGCACCTTCTCACTGCTGCCCCGCCGAGCTCCGTGCTTCGTGGAAGGCACCGCACACCTCGGACGTGGCTCCCATCGCACAGCAGGGCAGGGCACTGCCCCAGAGCTTGGGGGTCCCCTCCACGTCACACTCAGCAGAGCGGGGGTCTCACTGGCGGGCGCCAATCCGGCCCTGCGTCCCCCACCGCTGCTGCCGCCAGATCCGAGGGAGGGAGTCCCAGCGCCACAACTGAGGGCACACCAGGCTCCCGCGCAGCTGCACCGCACGAGGGAGAGTTCCTGTTGTTCTGCAGCAGTTCCCCGTCACTATCTGCACAGGCACAGGCTGAGCTTTATCTTGGTACTTCTCCTTCGCTGCCGTTTCAGTTCAGATGTTGTTTCTTTGAAATGAAGGGGGGGAGGGACACCCCATGCTGCAATGTTTCTCATCTCTTTCCTTCAGATCAAGACCACAATCTACTTGAAACTGCCTCATAAATCTACCTGAAACTGCCTCATAGCTGCTGAGTGCTGGGCTGGGAAGGAGCAAGGGCGGAACAGCAGCCAGCGGTGCTCCCCGGAGCCCTCTGCCAGAGCCATGGCCACAGCAGCTGTTCACGGATGCTGAGATGAAGCACCTTAGCAGCAGAAGCCCTGGAACCTTCCACTGCCTGCTCCTGCCGAGCCAAAGGGGAGGCCGATGGGAAGGCAGAAGCACCTCAGCCCCCGGAGGGAAGAGTTTGCAGACAGGGATGCCCAGAGAGGAGCAGTGCCGGAGCAGCCCAGAGCCTGGCTCCCCGGGTTTGTGGGCAGTGGCAGACCCGGTCACTCCTGCCCTGAGACTGACTGTTCCTGGGAGCGCATCCAGCTCCAGGATGTGGGGGGGTGGCCCACGAGCAGCTGCAGGGGAAAGACAGCAAGCCACAAATGCAAGAGAAAATATTGATGATTTCTGTTGAGTTTTTCCTGCTGCGCTGCTGCACAGTCCTGATTAAAACTTGTATTTTCAGACATTCTTATTAAAAAAAATCCCTAGGTGAAGCTCTTTGAAGAGCTCTGCCTGGTGGGCCTAGCCAGACAACCCCCACGCTGGCTCCTGGACCACTGGTATCCCTGTCTCTGTCCCACAAGGCTCCCTCTCCCTCTTCCTCTCCCCCTCCCCCTCCTCACCCACCCGTCCTGTCCCCGCTGTGTGGCCCCAGCACAGCCCAACATCAGCCAAGGCATCCATTTGCCCGCAGGTGTTTTTCTGCTCCAGGAAGGGTGGAGTTGTGCTGGTTTAAAAATGACTGATCGCTCCTGGCAGTTGCTTGGTTGCATTTCTTAGCTTTGGTCTCTTCTACTGTGCAGCAGCAGGTGGTCATCCTTGCAGTGGCACATCCCAGTCCCTCGTGTGGCAGGATGCTCTGTCCCCAGAGGAGCTAGGAAGAGCCAGCAAGGCCCCTGGGACTTGGGCTGACACGGAGACCTGGCCCTTCCCAGTGCTCAAAGAATTGTCTCAGGCACAATTGTTGTGCCTGGGTGTCGCTTCATTGAAATTGGGTGGTGGTGATGGTGGGGCTCTGCAGTGCACCTCTGGTTTTGAAGGAAAACAAGAACATGAAAGAGAAAGTTTCAGTATCATCTCCTTTAGACCACATTAATGACCTTAAATGGCAGTTTTGTTGATTTTTTTCTTTAAGTAGCTTTTCTTTAGAAACTTGCATTTCCTCAATGCAAAAACATCAAACAGAAAGCAAACAGCTTTATAAAATGTCCCTCCCTACCCCCTCAAAAAAAGATAATTACTTGGAAGTCATCCCAGTAAAACACATCAGCAATGAGCCAGCCCTGTCTCCCACGGTGTCATGCCTTTCCCTCCTTTGCAATACGTTTGAGGTTTTGACCTTCTGACTGATCTGTATGGAAAGGCACGGAGCGTTTCCAGTGCTCAGTCCTGTAGGACAGGAGCTTTGGAGGCGCTCATCCCTCAGCATCCTTCCAGAGTGAGCATGTCACAAATGTAAACTCTGGAGTCTCGCTGCTGCTTTACAGCGTAGCATTTCCTGCAGCTCCTGACAGCTGCTGGCAATTGCCAGAGCAGCAGTCCCTCCCCTCCCCTCCCCTCCCCTGGGTTTTGGCCTGTGTATCTCAGAGGGGCGGGAGAAGCCAGACCAGCTCAGTGCCTGGTCTCCAAAAACCATGCTCAGCAGCGGCTCTACTACTGTGCCTGGGACAAGCTGAGCTTTCCCCGAGCATCTTCTGCCCTGTAACCACGTCTCCAGTGAGCAGATACGTCCCCAGGAGGGAGGGAGCTGCAAGATGCTCGTGCCTCCCCGACTCAGTGTGGCGTGGCCAGCTGCACTCGGTGTGGCATGACCAAGGCCATGAGGCAGCTCCAGAGACCTGGCTGGAGCCTCTGGTCCCCTGTGCAGGGCCCATAAAATCCCTCACGTGAGCTCATCAACACTGCTTTGCACCTTCTGGGGCAGAGCCTAGCTCAATGCCAGGCTTTTCCCCACAGGCTCACAGCTGAGAGCTCGTTCTGCCCGTGTTCATCTGGGGGTGGCAAGGAGGAACCAGTCCTCACCCAGGAAAGGCTCGGCGTAAGCAGCAGGGTGATGCCCATGCAAGGGGGAGCTGGCAGGGGTCTGGTGCCAAGCACCAGAGGAAATCAGGCTGGCTCGAAACCTAACCTGAGCGCTGCAGAGGAAGGAGCAGCAACACAGCTCTGTGGTGAGCGCTGCCTGGCCAGGACAGGGCCAGCGTGTCGGCTGGCAGCAGGGCTGGTGCTGCTGTGTCTGGAGAGCACAGATTTATCCCAACCTCTGCTGCTTACCACCCTGTGCATCACTTCCTCCCCCTGCTGTTTTTCCGCCCTGCCTGGTATACGTAAGAATACGGAGCGGTTTGGGGCAGAGAACTGCTGTCTGGTTTCCACTGCAGTGCTGGCCCACTGGCTGTCAGCGAGCAGTGAGCTCCAGTGGCCCCGGGCGTCTGAGCTCGGCGGGTTCGGCTCAGCACCACAGGCATCAAGGAGAAAGCAAGGCCTTTGCACAGGGATGCTGCAGGATACAGACTCATGGAGAGAACTGCTGCTCACAGAGGAAAACGGGATGAGAGTGCAGTGGGAGCCCGGTATTTGGGAGTAAGGTTTTAAGCAAAAGCCCTGATGCTCAAGGACGAGCTTTCAGGATAGCCCAGATCTCCCTGCCTGAGTTACTACAGCCCTGCCACCAGCTCAGTGGCTCTTCTGATGTGCTGAAGACTGCTCTGGGCAGTAAGAGAGGTATATATTTATGTGTTGGTTTGTTTATACCTACACACATACTCGTTTTTTTTTCCAGGAACTGTGTCAGGGGTTTTCGATTCTCATACCGCAGCTCTCCCTCAAATGCCTTCTTCCCAGCAATGCAGACTAACTGGCAGATCAGAACCACTGCCTCCCTGGTGCCCTCCTGAGATACTCACCTTGTCAACTTGCCCATGTGCCGCCAGCATGGGTCCCCTGCTGTCCCCTTGCCTGGAATCCCCCAGCTTCAAGCCCTGGCCAGGAACGACGAGGACTGGCCCAAGCAGACAGAGGAGGAAGGGCTGGGGGAGATGAGCGCTCGGCCTCTCTGACCTGTGAGCAGAGTGCCGGGGGCATCTTTTCTGACATGGCAAAATCATCCCAGCACCGGCTTGCTGGGCACACCGCAGGCAAAGGCAATGACAGCGCCTAAGCACTGTGCTTGTGCCAGGCCCAGCAGCAGTGCCCGTGCAGGGCATGACTGCCATGAAGCAGTACCCTTACTGCGTGCCAAAGGGGTTTGTAGGACAGGTCTTCCTCCTGATTTGCTCTCCTTTGCTTGGAGCTCTATGTGCTTTTTAACCCAAAATCACACTCAGGAAGCAAAGGTGCTATCATGTCTTGGGCAGGCACAGCTGATTTTAAACCACTTCTCTTCTCATAGACCAACATTAAGACTGATAACCAGACACTGCTGCAGAGGTGGTGATTCAGGATTAAAGCATGCCTCGTTTTCTTCACGTGATGTGCAGGCCCCTGAGGAGCGTTGGCAGAAAGTGTCCAGGGAATGGGCGTACAGACAGGGTCTTTGAGTACAACAACCTCCCTTAGCAGGACCAAGGATTCGGAGGTGATAGCGGCATTGAAGCTTCAGAGTGCTAATTGTTCTGTTGCCTTTGCCTGTTGTGGTTTTTCATCAGTTCTTGGCTGCAGTTACAATCCCAAATTAGCTTATTTAAACCAGATGCCTGCAGAGAACCTGTAGTGACCTCAGCCAGAGCTTCTGGGAGGATTCCTGCCTAGGTGAACCAGATCAAAAGCACTCCAGGGATTAAAAGGAGGCATTACCCCCTACCTCCCCAGTTCTCCTCATTCTTTCAATAGCAAATCATTCATCTGCACAGTAGAAGAAGGTGTTTTGGAGTAGCTGCTTTGCTTAAGAAGAGCTAGGAGCTGCCCACAGCTTCCCTGAGCATGAGAGGAGAGAAGAGTGCCACCCCAGCTCCAGCATGCTGGCAGAGGCCTGGCTGCCATGCCGTGCGAGTGATCACACAGCCCAGTGGCACTTCCACACTCTCGGGCTCCGTCCCCCTCCTCACACAGGCACAGCCTCTGGGGATGGGCAGTGGCCACGGCTGGGCAATTGCTTGCTGGGTCCCCTTAAGCCAGACTTTGATGCCGATGGGGCAAAGTGAAGGAAAAGACTGGACTTCAGGGCTCAGAGAAAATTTATGGAGAGGCTCTGAGGCAAGGTTTAATCCTGACCAACACTCAAAATAGGAGGGCTGAGGCTGGGTGCAGGAGGAGTGCAGAACCTGGCTGTGCTCTCGTGACAGCTTTTGTCCTTATGACAGCAGAGGCGGCAGCACCCTGCCACCTCCTCTGTGGCCCCTCTCTGCCCAGTGGATGCTCTCGTGCTGGAGCAGTCAAGAGTTGTTGAAAGTCTGTGAACATGGAAAAGATGTCCTTCCAGTATGCAACATGCAATCCCTCCTGAGCAGACACTTCCCCAGTAGATTTACACTTTGCTGTCAGCACACAGCTGCCCAGGCAATCCCCAGGGAGTCAGAAACAATGCAGCAAACTGGGACAACCTGGCAACAGGGAAAACTAAGGTGGATGAGGGCTAGGAAGTGCAAACATGAAGGACAATTTTAAACAACACAGGACTGTATGTCACAGCCCCCTCTGAGCTTGCAGCCTGAGAGTCAGGCAGCTCTTCATATGAAGGGCAGTCTCAGCCGCTATCACTTAGGCAGTGATGGAGGCAATTGGCTATTGGAGGCCCAAAAAAAAAGAGTGGACAGCCACCAGCTGAGGCAATGTGAGAACCAAGAATAGGAAGAATGCAGATGTCCTGAGGCCCAGGTTTTTGCCCTTGACACAAAGATTTGGTCACCTCTTTGAAACAGAGTCACCTGCGGCAGCCCGATGTTGGTTTCTGTTCAGGACCACAAGGCCAGGAAGGGGCAAGTGTAGCAGGATTGGTGCTCAGTTTAGCATTTAACCAAATCACGCTTTGCTAGGGGCAAGGTGACGACAGCAATTGCAGCCTGGTTTGCAGGAAACTTCATGCCAGGGAAGGGAGAGAGCAGAGAATCCAGAGCAGGGTAGATGAAGGCTTCTGGTCCCATTTGAACAAATGTGCCAGTGGCCAGACCAGCTGCAGAGGGGAAACCATAGAGAAGAAAGAGCATCTGCAGTCATTGCACTTGCCAACAAAGCATGAGGTGACCTGACCACCCTCAGGAGCAAGTGACGCGTGAGCTACTGAAGGTACAGTGTGAGACAGTCTGATTGCCAGAGCTCTAAGACACCATGCTTTGAAGCGAATGGATGTGATTTGTCCTGCAGCCAAGCTGCAGGAGAAATGCTAAATCACATCTCAAGAATACCCTAGGACACCTCTCCCCATCAGCATCCTTGAGGTTTTGGGACTGTGGCATACTATGCTCTCTCCCTGCCCTGGCCTTTCTGTCCTGCTCTATCACTCATCAATCGCAGCCGCGGGGCACCGGCCGGGGCAGCAGAGATGCAGATAGACCTGCAGGGATGCTGCACTGCTCTGATAGCACAATCAGGCCATCACACGTGGTTTCCTGGATGCTGGGTACAGCTGGTCCCAGGGTATAAAATCGGCCCTTGGGCACTGGGAGTCTCAGACTTCCACACGTCTTGGCAGGAGTGTCCAGCTGCGGGAAGAAATGTGCCAGCTCCAGCAGCTAGCGGCTCCTGCTTTCCTGCCCATGGGCCAATGCCAGTAAGCCGGGATGCTGCAAGCTGCTGGTATGGGCTCTGACCTCAGCAGCCACTGGCTCATCCTGTGGTGGGGTGTCTTGCAGGTGCTCTATGGGGTCAGATTGTAGGGGGCCATGAGGCTCAGCCCCACTCCCACCCTCACATGGCATACCTGAAGATAGAATGGATTTTCTGCGGAAGCTTCCTGGTTGCCCCTAACTGGGTGATGACAGCTGCACACTGTGAGGGGTGAGTACTTCATACAGAAGCTTTATCCCCTTCTTCCTCCCCTAAACTGTGAGGTCCGTTACTGGAGTAATTCTGGAGTAGGCTTCTCTTCTTCCTGTGCCGAGCAGCTCTCTCCACCTGCCTGCAAAAGGGGAGGGATGCAGGTGAGACCCAACCTGTTTTTCCCCTCCTCCCCTCTGCTGCCACAGCC